AGAAAGGAGGCTGAGGTGCTGGCTAAGTGTCCATTGTTCTTTTGTGTTGTAATGACCTGGGTGATGGGTGGGGCTCGTTTGTTGACTAGGGCTGGTTTCCAGACCTCCCGCCTACCAGACATCTGGTCTAGCACTGATTATGTTCCCTAGTTGGGTAATAAAATGTCTGCAAGAAAAAAAAACCAAGAGAGCACCAAGGATCCCATCCTCCTCATCCTCCTTTCTAGCACTGGTGATATCACAAAATTTGGTAATGGAACATTTGCAAGAAAACCATCAAGCTGCGAGGGCATCAAACACCCCTACTGCCTCTCTTGTAGGCAACAAAGCTCTGTCCTTGATGAAGGTTTGGTTTTGATGATGGTGGCAAAGACAAACATTTGTATCGGAGAAGCTTTTAAGAAAATGATGTGTTCTTTCAGCAGCAAGGAAGAATGAAGTAGTAGCTCTAATACAAGCAGATGTCGTATATCTTTCATCTTCCCAATCACTTTGAGAGAGGTTTTCAGATGCTTCCGATTTAAAGAGATTTAGAATCCATGCCGAAGCCGGCTAATATATGCACAATTCACTCTCTGGACAGTTAATTTATTTGTAGCTGTCATCAGCCTTAATAAAAATAGACTATCTGGGCTTGGATGAGCTTTTATGGGTTTTGGGGTAGAAGAGGAGAAAATGTTACGTGCCGCAGGTGATATCAAGCAAACTGACAAGCGTTCAGCAGAACATCTAAGCTAATTGACCCAACGCATCCTGTCCAGACTACAGGTTCAGAATAACAGAGTTGGAAGGGACCTTGGAGATCTTCTAATCCAACCCCCTGCAAAAGCAGGAGACCCTACACCATTCCAGACAAAAGGTTGTCCAATTTCTTCTTAAAAACACCCAGTGATGGAGCACATACAACTTTGGAAGGCAACTTCTGTTCCACTGGTTCATTGTTCTCACTGTTAGGAAGTTTCTCCTTAATTCCAGGTTGCTTCCCTCCTTGATTAGGTTCCATCCATTGCTTCTTGTCCTGCCTTCTGGTGCTTTGGAAAATAGGTCAACCCCCCACCCTCTTCTTTGTGCCCCAAAAATATTGGATCATCCCTAGACTAATGGTAAACAGTAAAGGTTTCCCTCGTACATATGTGCTAGATGTTCCTGGCTTTAGGGGGCGGTGCTCATCTCTGTTTCAAAGCCGAAGAGCCAGCACTGACTGAAGACGTCTCCGTGGTCATGTGGCCGGCATGACTCAATGCCGAAGGCTCACGGAATGCTGTTCCCTTCCCACCAAAGGTGGTCCCTATTTTTCTGCTTGCATTTTTACGTGCTTTCGAACTGCTAGATTGGCAGAAGCTGGGATAAATCACGGGAGCTCACTCCATTATGCAGCACTAGAGATTCGAACCGCCGAACTGCCAACCTTTCTCATCGACAAGCTCAGCGTCTTAGCCGCTGAGCTACCGCATCCCTTATATGACAATCTTAACTGGGTCTTACTTTTTGGGTAGGGCTTATATTATGAGCATCCTGAAAAATCATGTTAGGGCTTATTTTCCAGTTGGGTCTTATTTTGGGGAAAACAGGGTAAGAGGGGCAGGCAGATATGTCTTGATTTAAGGCCTAGGATTCCCTAAACTATCATATATAACCAAGTAGAAGTAGTCCTCAACTTATGGCCACAACTGAGTCCAAAATTTTCTGGTGCTAAGCAAGACAGTTGTTAAGTGAGTTGTACAGACAGAAACTGCCAAGCTGCCGACCTTTCTGATCGACAAGCTCAGTGTCTTAGCCATTGAGCCGCTGTGTCCCTTTCTTCACTAGACTAGGCATACCCAATTCCTGCAACTGTTTTTCATCCTGGAAGGAAGAATGCTTGCACCAAGTTCACTCTGGGCTTAAGGTGTTCAGACTTATAATCCAACATAGCTAAGAAAGAATCTTTATTACATACTAGGAAGAAGCCACCAAATATAAATTTCCCTCTGCCACATTGAAGGCACAATTTTTATTTTCCATAACCAACATGGTTTTGTAGAAAGTTAAAACCCACCCCTCTCCTAGAAAAAATGAAACATCCTGGGAAATATTGAAAAGGCAAAATATTATATTTCCCTGGATCAGAAATGGAGAAATATGTTTCTAGGCAGGAAACAGACTCACTCTTAATAGCCCCCCACTTTTGTCAATGGACCATTAGGGGCCCAGAGCTACTCTACACTACATAACAAAGGTAGGATTCGCCATCTACAGAAACTCGCCGCATGGCGAGTTTTCTGGGAAATCAACCAAGCTTGGGATTCAAAAGACACATAACCTACAAAGTTAGCTAAGACACCACCAACACCACCGGCCCTGGGAGTATGACAACCAATCAGAATACATTTCTTACACAGGAACAGGAAACAGAGAGGTGGGGCCAAACAGGGAGTATTAAAAAAACCCAGGAAATCTCAGCAAGCCCCTTCTTTCTCTCTTTTTCTTCTTCATCCGACATCTGGAAGCATTGATCCCCCTTTTCTGTTCAGTAGCTCAAGCCATGTGATCCTGTCCATCATTAAACCATCTTTCCAAGCAGCCTCCAAGTTCCCCCCCAACACAGAACTGAACCCAGAAGGACATTCCTTTCAACAATTTGATTCAAGGATCCTTTCCCTCCCACCCTCTTCAGCTGCTTAATGGTCTTTTTTTTTGCCTTCTGCTTCTCAATTTGGAAGCTGGGTGACAATTGTTGGCATAAGTGACATCTCTTGCTAGAGAAATGCAGCCTGTCAACTGAATCCCAGAGGTGGCCTTTAAAATCTGATTTCTGTTTACATTAAACAAGTCTTGTTCTACAGGTTACAGGAGAGATGTGGTTAGAACATGATATAGAATTGATTCATATTCAGGATGTCGAGCTCATTCATATTCATATTTGGTTTGCAGCCAAGAGCTCACATTCCTGTTTTTTGTGACAGCTAACGACTTCTGACACCAGTTTTTTTTTTTAATATTAGTTTATAGGAAAGAGGTCGCTTTCCATTTTCCCCAGGTGATAGTAATTTTCCAACAGCTACATCTGCTGAGAAACAATGAGAGTTGACTTGCATCTCCAGAATAACAGCTGATGTAAAACAATATTAGATGGACAATTTTTTCTGAATTTATCTGGAGGGGCCTTCCAACTGTGGGGTCGCTGAGGAGAATCCTATGTATTAAAACTTGAACATCTGGAAGTTGCCAGGCTGAGAAAGGTTAATGGTTAATCTAAATCCACTCTAGAAATTCTGAAGGCCATAAAGACTCTTTCTTTGTTTTTCAGATTACCTCATGTCTTTGAGCTGATGAAGTGCAATTTTGCTCTGAGGCCAAGAATTACTTGTAACGCAAGTAAGGACTGTGCAGGAGCCAGGGTGGGCTGCTGGAGGCTCGCACGGATTCTAGCGAAGATTCTGTGTGCTTCATCAAACCCCCAAATCCCACTCCTGGTTGGCCCTGCCCACTCCACACAGCCCCTCCCACACAGCCCTGCCCCTCCCAGGAGTCTCCATGCCAGAGGTGGGTTCCTACCAGTTGGGACCAGAACAGCCGAGTAGGTAGTAACTCGGCTGGCCATGCCCCTGAACCAGTTCCATCAGTGCCATAGGCACTGCCATCTTGTTTTTTGCTTCTACGCATGCTACCTTCATCCTAATCTACCAAAGTTCAGAGAGGTAAGTGGTCCCCTCACACATATGTGCTAGTTGTTCCCGACTCTAGGGGGCGGTGCTCATCTCCGTTTCAAAGCCGAAGAGCCAGTGCTGTCCGAAGACATCTCTGTGGTCATGTGGCCAGCATGACTCAATGCTGAAGGTGCACGGAATGCTGTTACCTTCCCATCAAAGGTGGGTCCTATTTTTCTACTTGCATTTTTACATGCTTTCGAACTGCTAGGTTGGCAGAAGTTGGGACAAGTAAGAAAAATAGGAACCATCTTTGGTGGGAAGGTAACAGCGTTCCATATGCCTTCAGCATTTAGTCATGCTGGCCACATGACCACAGAGATGTCTTCAGACAACACTGGCTCTTCGGCTTTGAAACGGAGATGAACACCGCCCCTTAGAGTGGGAACAACTAGCACATATGTGCAAG